GAGTCTTCAGCACTGGGCCTAATTAGTTTTGTGACTTTGGGTGCACTGTATAAGCACTGAAACCATGGAATCCTCAAGTGTAAATGAAGAGTTAAAGCACATGCCTGCTCTGTGTATTTCAAAAAACATACGGTTAGGCTGCTGGTGATGATGGAGGTGGTTGGGAGTTTGTATAATAACGTGATGTATGAGCATGTATGAGGTTCCTCTTCTGGGACCTCAAAGGGTTCTGTGCTCAGAGAGTACCCAAGCAAGTTAGCATTTTCCTTGTCTCAGGTTGGAATTCTTTTCTATCCCTGCGTGTCATGTCCCTCAAGTGACATGCTCAGAGAAAGAGCATCAGGTACTGTCAGAGATATAGCATTTGCTTTGAGGCCACCTTCCCACCTTTTCCCTGGTCCCCTACATCAACAACAAAAATAAGGGAACAGGGAAAGGACCCTTAGTGAGAAACTGGAAAAAAGCCTTCTCATGCCATCCTCCATGTAGTCATGAACTCTACTTGGCCTAATGAGGGAACCAGCGAACTCTGGCATGCCTGTCATCTTCATTTTCCAGAGGAGGGAAAGGGGTGCAAGGAAATTAGGCGATGATAAGACTGTAACCTCAGCTACTCAGCTCGGGAGACTGAGGCAGGGGGCTCACTAGTTCAAAGTCAGTCTGGGATACCGAATAAGTATTGGACAACTTAGTAAGACCCTGTCTCAAAGTAAAAAGAGGCTGAGGGTATAGCTCAATGATTTGCCTAGATTTTACTTTGAATGTACAAGTCCCTAGACTTGGTCCCCCCAGTACCAAACACACAAGATGCAAAAGCAAAAGGAAAAAGAATGGAAGAAAGAGAGAGGGGGAGAGAGAGAGAGAGAGAGAGAGAGAGAGAGAGAGAGAGAGAGAGAGAGTAAACAACTTGCCTGTGGTCACTAAGGCCTTCCAAGCAAAGGATAGGACCCTGGATTTTATAGATTTCACCTTCATAAGACCGCCCCTTCCCAGCTAGTTTTGAACATTTACCATCAGCACTATACTGGAGCAGCGCCCTGACAGGACCAAGGGCTCATCTTCCCGGAAGTGGGTGGGGTATTTTGCAGTAAGGTCAGAGAGGCGATGCAGAGCCTAAGGATTTCCGCTTCCTTCAGAGAAGCCCAGCAGGAGGAGAACTTTGGATTGTCTGTACTTTAAAGCTTGGGTCTCAGCCTGGGATAAGTTCCCATGCCAGTCTCTGCATCCCGGGTGGGTGGGATATGTCCCCATTGTCCTCTAGAGGGTCTCATGAAGCACAGACCATGCCATGGCTGCTGCTCCTCCCCACAGACCATGAATATCATTTCGGTTCAATATTTTGAATATCTTTTTCTAAATTAAACGTAATGGGAGAGCAGCCAAGAGGGAGCAATTGCCTTAAATTGAAATAGACATTAGCTGGAAGGGGAAAAATTGTCCCAAGAGGTCAAGGAGGTGATTGGACTCTTACTTCCACATGGAGCTACTAGAAGAATGACTGAGTCTGTCTGCTGGCTGCAAGAACAACCAGATGTCAAGGGGACATGAAGCCAAGCGTCAGAGAGGCCTCAGCTCCCAATTCCAGGAAAAGCTTTGGAGACTGGCTTGGTTTTCCATGTTTTATTCAAGACATTTCTTTTCAGATATGCATCTGGTCAGGTGCTAAAACACCACAAAAACATCCCAGGGAGGCATGGACCCCCCCCCAATGTGCTTGGCTGAGGAGGCTCTTCAGTTCTTCTTGCAGAAGGGAAAAATAGGCAATCTGAATGCTGTGTCTGTGGACATGTTTTCCTGCATTCTTTTAGCTTGAAATGACTGGGGATGGTCTTGGGTTGATGCAACACTCATCTATCCAACACTCTGAAATAGGAATCAACTGGGGGGGGATTATTCCAAGAGATCAAGGAGGCCATTGGAGTCTTACTTCCCATTGGGGGGATGACTGAGTCTGTCTGTTAGCTTCAAGAACAGGGCAAATGAAACCCTTCCTCTGCCACTATTCCGAAAGGACATTGGGTTATCAACTGTCTGGTCATCTGGAATAATCTGATGAAGGTGGCGTGACCCTGCGATTCTAGAGGCACAGTCTGATATGTGCATTATGCCAGTTCTGATGTCTTTGAGGCCACTGCCTTTTTCTCCTCTCCTCTTTGGGTGTTCGTGGGGGGTCTGGTCCCAGTCTACCTGTATTTCTCAACATCTACCCCCCTCTTTCTCAGATTCCTCTCATGTACTGACCATGTAGACCTACTTTTTTCTCTATCCCAAAGCTTGCTACCTGGCTGTCCAGGCTTGGGATGGGGCAAGGGTTGATTCATCCTTCTGTTTGCTCAGATGTGACATTTGCTGGGACAACTTTTCAGTTCTTGGCATGGTCTCTACACCATCTGTGTCTGTTGCTGGCTGCAAGCAGACTCTGGTGTATTTATGTGCACCTGTTTAGTCAGCAGGTCCCCAGGGTCCCCAAGGAAGCTGCAAAGGTGGTGGTGGAAAAGAGAAGGAGAGGGAGGGAGAGGGGAAAAGGAAGGGGGAAGAAAACAGGTCATCCATAGGAGTCATCATCAACCTTCACTGTCAGCTTCCTGGATTAAGTCACTCCCAGTGCATGCATGAAACACACTTACACGTGTCAGTGAAAGCTTCCCCCAAAGGAATTAACTAAGAAAGCAAGACCAACGCTGACCCCAAATGAAGGCGGCACCACCCCTTGGGCTGGGGTCCTGGACTGATCTAGCTCTCTCTCTCTCTCTCTCTCTCTCTCTCTCTCTCTCTCTCTCTCTCTCTGCTTCCTGACTATGATCATCATGCAAATAGCTGCCTCACAGCTCAGCCTCCGTGCCTTCCTGTCATGAGTGAATTCATCTCTTCAAACCTTGAGACAATGTAAGAACCTCCCCGATTTTGCTTTGGTTGGGTATCTCTGTCACAGCAATGAGAGAAGTTCCCGATATTTGCCCTCTGCTATATTGGCTTGGGGGCAGAAAGGTTCTTAGTTTCATGGGACACCCCAGCTCATAATTCTTTGGTGATGGAAGATACCGCTGGAATCTTGAGCTCACCACATCCTCTGGGACTGATCAAGTCCTCTCTGTAGCTAGAAAGGACTGCCTTTCTGTGCCTTTTTACAGGATACTTTTTCTACTGTGTGGCTTACACTGTGTGACCCCTGGAAGGAGCTGGCTATCTCTCCCATGAGCAGTTTTTAATAGAGAGGCTTGGAGCCAGCAGTGGCTTCATCTACAGTGTGAAGAGGTGGCCCAAGGTAAGCTTGCCAAGGAATGACTCTTGGATAGGGCACTGTCCACAACTTTTCTCAGAACAAAGGTCCATCCAATAACACTGCTTACAAGTTGTTTATTGGGTGCTAGACATTTGTATTTAAAATTCTTTGCTAGGTGCCTTGCCCTCCTGTGTTTGAGTTCTGATCTATAACCTGGTAGCTCTGGACCTTGGATAAGCTCCTGTGTCTCCGTGAAGCTAGGTCCTCCATCTTGTGGGGAGAAGACACAGCTCACGGAGAAACTGAAGTGGTGTGTAGCTCTCCCAGCTTGCTTTCAAGGTGCCTCTCTGAGCCATTAGCATATTTTAGAGTTAATAAATGGTGGCTATTTTCTTGGACCCATGCTTTGCTGTTGCTGCTGTTCAATGGCTATCATTCCAAGAGAGAAAACCTTCAAGTCCTTTGTAAATTGGAAGGGCAAAACTGAAGTTTCTGTTACTGACTCTATAACTTCTCCCCTGCCTGTCAGCCTAGTGTGACCTATGATCCCTAGCAGACTAACTTATTCATCTTTTGAGTCTGGCTCTATAGTGTCAGGTGACCAAGGAGAAAATTCTAGCCCTGTCACTGGGCGATCTCATGATTAGAATAGGCTGAGCTGCTGGCATGGTGGAACCCATCCCCGAAGGCCAGAGGTAGCGCTTCACGTTGCTTGTCTGCCCCTTTGTGAGAGGAATCAAGTGTGATGCTTAGCCTTCATTGTGAACTTGATGGGATTTGAGATCAACATGGAAACAAATCTCTGGGCATGGCTATAGTATTATGTAGATTAAGTTAGTTGATGTGGGAAGACCCACCCTAAATGTGGGTGTCATCATTCCCTGGGCTGTGACCCTTGATTGAATATTAAAGGGAAAAGTGAACTGAGCACAAGCATTAGTTTCTTTCTGCTTCCTAATTGTGGACACAAAGGGATCAGTCACCTCCTACTTCAGGGGCCGCACTTTCTCCTCCTTGATGGACTGTAACCCCTTTTACTGTAAGCCAAAAGCCAACCCTTCACCTTGTCAGGGCAACACCACCAGTAAATAATAAATTAAGCTAAAGGCAAGTCTGATTCTCTTCCTGTTCTCCCAAGAGGCCATCTGTCTGCTCTGAGGAATGTTGCCTTTTCAGAACCATGTTTCTTCCCTGGTCCCTCGAAGCTTTCCCGCACTAGCACTACCCCGATTCAAGCAGCTCACTCGACTGTCACACTGTCTTCTCCTGTCACACTGCGTTTGGTAGCTGGCAGGTCAGGTCTCTTCAGATCCCACTGGAAGGCATGTGGCACAAGGGGAAAGGCTTAGAATTTAGCACAGAAAATTCAGTTCTGACACTTACTAACAGAGCAATTTGGGGAGAAATCATTTAACTTAACTGTGTCTCTGTTTTCTCCCCTTGGTAAAATGGAGCTAGTTGTCAAATTACATAAATAGCCACAGAAGTACATTGTAAAGGATGAGTGCCAGAGAAAATGCCTTGCACATCTTCCTTCCTGGGCCAGGTTTTGTTTTGTTTTGTTTTTCCAGCTACTCAATGAAAGAAAGAAAGAGAAAAACCCAGTAAACGCCAAGTGCTTTTCTTTGTATTATTTGTTTAGTAAATATTTTGTCTTTGTTACGGAGTTAAGGGGACACTGGCTTTGTTTAATGTTATTGCTAACGTCGCACAGCTGATAATTAGAACATGAATCAAAATATGTCTGATTCTAGCAGTGGGGTTCTTCTGCTTACAGAAGACTGAAGAGCAGCCCCTCAAATATGCACGCAATTCCTGGGACCTGTGAATATTACCTCATCTGGTGAAGGAAGACTTCAGGGAGGCACTAAAACTATGTGTCTCGGAATGAAGAGGACAACTAGTCTGGATTATCTGGTGGAACTCCTGGAATCACAGGGTCCGTAGGAGAAGGGAGAGGATGCATGGACAGCAGAGGAGACATGAATAGGCTGAGCTGCTGGCATAGCAGATGGTGGAAGTGACCATGAGCCATGAATATAAGAAAGGCGACTCTGAAATCCTGAAAAGTAAGAAAATGGATTGATTCTTCTCCAGAGCCCTGTGGCTCTGCTACTGCCCTGACTTCAGGCCAGTGAATCTGATTTTCACCTTCCAGAAGTGTAAGAGAGTAAATCTGTTGTTTTATGTCACCAAGTTTGTCGTAATTTTATTGTAGCAACCATAGCAAAACCATACACCATTCCATCATCCTGTATTCTTAGTTCACAATTTTATATTCTCTTTGGTCCCTTAAAGCACCAAATTTTAGCCTTTCCTAGGCTCTCTCAGGCCCTGGTCAGTCCTTCTCAGTCATAACAATTGAGTAACAGCCGCTCGACACATGCCTATGAGGGGAAGAACCTTGTGTGAGATGTGTTGAAAGATGACAGGGAAGGGTCTTCATGGAGCTTATGTGTTATCTGAGATATGACCCAATCCTCAGTGACTTCAAATATATATATATATATATATATATATATATATATATATATTACTTTACATAGTTAGTGAGAGTCAAGAGTTCAGAACTGTTTGACAAATGTCTCTAGTTCAGAGTCATGGGACTGCCTTCAAGATAACAGCTGGGGTTGCTCTTAGCTGAGAGCTTGGCATAGTTGAAAGATCTGTCTTTATGTCTCTGTTTCTGTCCCTCTCTCTGTCTCATCTCTGTCTGTCTCTGTTTCTCTCTCTCTCTCTCTCTCTCTCTCTCTCTCTCTCTCTCTCTCTCTCTGTGTGTGTGTGTGTGTGTGTATGTGCTTATGGGTGTGGACACAGGACAAACTTGTATAACATCCTTGGGAGTATGCATATATCTCTTGAGACAGAGTCACTGGCCTGGATCTGACCAATCAGTGTAGACGAGCTGACCAGTACGGCCGCAGGAATCATCCCATCTCTTGCTCTTCATCATGGGATTAAAAGTGTCTGCCACCAACTGCACAATTTTCACATAGGCTCTGGGGATCAAACTCAGTTCCCTATGTCTTCAAGGCATGCACTTTAATGATCCAACCATAATCTCATCCCTGTGGAGGATCTACTTTAGATCAAAACAAAAATTAAGTGAGGATTTAGCATTGGAAAACTCAGTTTCTAGGTTTATTTCATTCTCAAAAAGGTGATTCATGCCCATGCTGGCAGATCTTGGGTCTTTACTGTTTATTGGCAAGATATCTCAGGTCCTTATGATGTGAGCCTCTCCAAGAGATTGCCCAAGTGTTCTCAGACATGGCAGCTGGCTTCTCCAGCAAAGGATGAGAAGGAAAGACAGAGAGAGAAGAGACAGAGACAAAGAGAGAGAAAGAGAAGATATGACCTAATCATTGCCCTCAACGAATCACTAGATACAGACAGCAAAGTGAAGAGAAATAGGCTTCACTCTCTAAAGCACAAGAGTTCCTGGGCATACTTTAAAGCAACACAAGGAATCTGCAGGACAGAGAAGAGAAGAACAGTAGAAGGACAAGGGAGAACTCCCTAAAGACAGGTAGCACAGAGTGAATCAGCCCTGGAGCTAGGACCAGGACATAAAGGTTTAGACTCCAACGGTCAGCAAATACTTTGGGTATGTGGCATGAACGAAGAGGTAGGAAAATAGGCACCACTTCTTTAAAAACTAGTGAAAGGCAAGGTGTGTGCCATGTAGGCACCCTTTAAATATGGATGCATACAGAGAAGAGAAGGAGACAACAAACCATTTGGGTAGAACTGGAAAAGACAAGAGACTGGGAACACGTGCTTGTGCAAGAAGGTAGCACCCAAAACATTCTGCACAGGAGCCACGCAGTCTTTAGATGTCAGAGACTCTGTTAAAAGTTGTTAAAAGAACAACCAGAATGATTGTTCCTGAGGAGGCAGGTGCTTGCTGACCTAGGTCCCGGGAGTAAGCTATAAGTAAGAAAGGAATGAGCATGTGTTTGAGAAGGATGATCCTGGAAGATGAAGATTTTGGAAGTTGCATGAACTTCATAGAGAACAGAGGGTATGTGGGGCAGGGGGAGGGAGTGGATCCTCCATAGTGTCAGGGGCTGCACAGTGGGAGTCACCTAGGGACTGCTAATGTCAGGGGGAGAGGTGATGCTGCATACAAACTGAGCAGACTGCTCTGCAACAAAGTCCTGGAAAGTCCAGCCACTGGCGCTGGGACTGTGAACTCCAAAACTGGTGGTGGCCTTGAGGCAGAATTCTAGAGATCTCAAAGTACTGAAGCCAAAGTGACTGAAGTACCAGCTCTCAGTACAGGACATATCTGACAATCAACCCTCCTTCTTTTCTTCAGTGGCCTGGGGAAGCCACTTCTCAGAACTGCCACCACAGTGACCCTAAGTTGAACACGTCATAAACCAGGTAAGACTAATCTGTGCTGCATATGATTTGATTGACAAGAGTTCTGTGTGATGTTATGATCTTATCTCGAGAAAGTTTTGACTTGTAGAAAACAAAGCTCAAAAAAGCATCGGCTAAGCATGTGAAGGTTTGTTCTCCCACAGGCAGGAAGCTCGGAGCAAGGCAGCCCAGCACTAGTGTGGAACATCTTCAGACTCAAGAGGACCACACTAACTCCTTCCTTCTGATATTTTATCTTCTATTCTTTTGTTCTTCTTGAAGTTCACAGTGGACACCAAGGTCTGGTCAGGACACTGAAGTTCTGAACTCCAAGAAGAAGGAGAGAAAAAAAGAGAAGACTCATTTTCTGGCCAAAGTAGTTTCTTAAGCAACCTCTCTGGAAGTTGTACACAGTATTTTTTTCAGTTCTGGCGCACTAGCCAGAAATGATTCGCTTGGTCATATCAAACTTGAAGACAGCTAAGGGATTTGGTTCTATGCAAAGTCTGAGCCTGTCTGAAAGGGAGCCTGGATATAGGGTGATTTGCAGCAAGCTTTCCCAAGCCCCTATGTTCCCAAGCCCCTATGTCTGTGTGTGTGTGTGTGTGTGTGTGTGTGTGTGTGTGTGTGAGAGAGAGAGAGAGAGAGAGAGAGAGAGAGAGAGAGAGAGAGAATGCACGCGTGCTCATGCACATGTGTGTAGGAGGCTTAGAAAGGCCAGTGGGCGGAAAATCCCATTGTTATTAGGTAAGATAACCCTGTGATTTCAGACTCAGGATGCTTGACTCTGATGCTGTATGATGGAGTGTGAATGAGAAAGAGAACGTGAGATATCGGGCATGAATAAAACTTTATAAGAAACTTTACTTGGACTGAGAGATAAATGGGAGATGTGACGGCAATGATGTCAGGAGCCCAACATCTGGCTTGATCTTCACCTTTGCTGTTTACTTGAACTTGTACTTGAACCTCTGGCTTAAAGGAAACCAAGAAGTTTGGTGTAGCACATTCTACTGTATCGGGTGAGTTTCTCTCAGCCAAGTCTTCCCTGTGTCTTTATGGGGGGGCTGTCTTGGAAATCTGGGGTGTTAAAAGTGGTCAGTCCTGCACCGTTTACTCAAGAGCAGGTTGATTGACTCTGAGCCTTAAGTCACCATCAAAGATACACCTCCCCCTTTTCTCTATCCAATCAGCTTGCCTTGAATAATTTTATATATCTCTGGAAAACAATTTCGAATGGTTTTGAACACACGTCCCCAGTTTTAATCTGCATACTCTATCTTAATTGGCAGATCTTGTCCTAAAGCACCTCTTTTAATCCCTCTAAACCTTAATTACCTGTAAGCCTGCAATTAACATTTCAGCGCGCTGTCATCTCTCCATGGCCGCCACATCAACCATCAGGAAAGAGGCCCTGCAGTCCTTCCTTTGACCTTGGACTGTGACGATCCCTGTACCACCTTCTGCTTTGGAGTAGGTGATGGGAATTTGATCCTGAAGCTGGGATCTCAAATGATGGCTACATGAATGTGTTCAGAGTGAGGTTTTGTGGGCAGAATTTGCCAATGGTAGAAAGGGTTGTGGGGTCTCAGACAAGGCGCCCACTGCCCCACATCTAGAGCAGATCCTCCACAAGGGAGTCACAGCCTTATATTTAGAGGATCCCCAACCCCTAATCGGGGCCTTGGCCTTAGACTGAATAATATTCTTGCTATAATCATTTTTAAGGGAGAAAGCTGAAAAGCTCCTCTAACTTTTTTCCTTTCTTTGTCCTCCACTCCCATCAGCCCTCTAGGACAACTGGAACTTAACCCAGAGCTCAGTCTCTGGAAGGTCAGTGATGCTCTTTTACAAGGTATTGAGCATCCACTGGCTGTTCTAGGCACATCTGTAAGTGCTGATGGTCCCTGCTCTCTGTTGCTTGCCTGAGTGGATGCAGCCACACGTCCCCTAAAGCAGATAGTGATGCATTCAGAGATGCTTTCTGCCATTCTTACCAACTGCTCTCAACACCTCACCCACACCACCTGATATTTGCTTGCATTCTAGAAGGTCTTCTGTGGCCTCTCAAGGCACATTTCTCCTGATTTTGTCTGGTTGCCAGAGTGCACCCTATCTGCCAGAACAACTGGATGCAAGCATGAAAGTGAGGAGGTGTGGACCCCAACTTCCTCCATCCTTATGTGAGGTGATTTAGAAACTCAAAGGCTCAGGATCGTCAGCCAGTAATTGGGTGACAGTTTTGTGCCATACACCCATTTTGTAAGGTGATGTAACAGTCTTGTCTACCAGGATTGCTGTAAATATTAAATGAACCAGCCCATGTGTCATGACGTGAATGTGTAATGTCCTTTACAGGCTCCTGCTTTGAATATTTGGACCCTAAAGAGTGGAGCTCTTTTGGGATTCAAGACCATTCCTGAGGAAGGGGGTCACTAGGAGAAGGTCTGAGGTTTGCAGCCTAGTCCTTCTGCTAGCATTTGCTCTGCTTCCTTTCCTGCCCAGATGTAAGCATGCTCCCTCTGCCACAGAGCCACCTGCCGCCATGCTTTCCTTGTTCTGGTGGACTGTCTCCCTTCAAACCAGGAGCTGGAGAAGCCCTTCCTCCTACGTCGCCTCTTGTCAAGCACTCGCAGTAATGTCTGGCACACAACAAACTGCTGCCAGTCCTCATCACTGTCACCCTCTCCGTCAGTGGCACCGTCCTTCTCCGCAGGGCACCAATCCCTCCCTGTGTTTTTCTCGGTGCTGCTTAATCTCCTCTGAGTCTCACAGCTGAGTCTGCTGCGTCTGTCTTCCGATGTCTCCTCCACCCATTGATGGTCTCTACCCTCTCCAGCTCCCCTTGTTCTCTCCTGGACTCTAGTGACAACTCCCAACCGGTCTTCTTCTTCCAGGCTTGTCCTTCGCTCCTTTTCTACACTGCAGCCCAGTTCTTTCTGTAACATCCGCCTTCTCATGTCACGCCCCTACCCAAACCTGTTGAAGAGAACACACTCTACAGAAACAACTGTAAGATCCTCTTCTTAATACAAGAAGTCTCCGGCCTGACTTTTCCCCATCCATTAGCTTTATATTTGTTTATTTTATCTTAACAACACATCTGGTCATATTAAGCCACCAGCTTCTCTCACGTGCCTAAGGCCTTTCATGTTTGTATTGGTTGTGCAGCCTGACACACATTTCCCGTCTCTTCACCTGCATAGAACTCACTTACTCCTGGACTCAGTCCAGATGTTTCCTCATCCAGGAAGGCTTCCCTGGATGCCTGATGGATCCAATTGTCCTCTTTTCTGCTCTTTTAACTCCATGGTGTATACTCCAAAGCCATCAATTAGGACTTCAGAAAATGATATTTGTTTCTTCCGGTAGATGGCAAAGTCTCATATTGCAAACCTTGAGTCTAATTCATCTTTGTGTCTCCAGAATCCACTATGGTATTTGGCACAGAATCTGTGTTCAACAGAGTTTCGTTTGAACTGTTGTGCAGGGAAATAGAAAAGCTTGCAGAGGGGTGCAAGTATACAGCTATGGCTGCTAAATTGAGACCACAGTCTCACTGACTGTCCAGGGCCAGGAGTTCACATATGCGAGTCCACACTCTCTCCTCCAGCCCTCTGCCACACACCCCACCCACTCAGGCCCCCAGGCTTTATTCCACTTTGTTTGTAAGCAGTTTCTGACTTCGGGCATCTCTCATTGTTGCTGTCAGTGCTGTTGAGACATTTACTGTCACCTTGTTATCCCGGAATCTCTGCATGGCTCCCAGAGGTTGCAGACAGCTCCAGGGCTCACAGTAGACAAACAGATTATCTGTCGACTGGGGCTTGTAGAAGAATATTTGGACAGGAACTCAAGAAACCCTAAACACACCGGCTCTCTGCCTGCAAAACGTGTTGTTTATTGTTCTGGCCTCTGGGTTTGGAAATGTCAGACACAGGCAGACTTTTTCAGGCTTCTTGGCTTCACTGTGTGGTCCAGAAAACTGCTATGACCCACAGAGCGTGCTTGGAACCTCCTTTCTTTGGCTGTCTCTGCAGTTTTGGGATACCAAAAGCCACTTGTTTTTCTGATCTCAAAACATGGCCCAGAGTCATGGAGAGGGCAAGTTCAGGGTCTGATCGGCAGGCTGCTGGGGCCAGAGCAGAATCCCACATACCATGGGGTCTCTCTGGTATCTGAAATGGCTGCCTGGCTTGTCTGCTGAGGAGAACAGACAGGTAGCCCTCTTTCAGCGTACGCCATGGCCTTTGGTACTGCCCTTTCCCATAACCAAAGCCTTAGCCAATGGTTGACTCCAATTCAGACCCTGGAGGTCTGGTATCATGCTTTTTCTTTTTATGCTGTGTGTGTGTGTGTGTGTGTGTGTGTGTGTGTGTGTGTGTGTGTGTGTGTGTGTGTGTGTGCATTTTCAGAAATGTTATTGTGTGGCTGTATGTGGTAGGCAACAGAAAGATAAACAAGACTGTGGTGGTCCTTTCCCTTCCCTCAAGAATTCATAGTCAAGCTGGAGAGAGAGAGAGAGGAGAGAGCACAAAATAAAGATGAGTGGTTAGTTAGTGCTCCATCCTAGCTAGTAGAAGAGGGGCTTGTCTAGGTGTGAACCACCTTGACCACATCCTGAAGTAGAGGAGAGATTCAGCTGGTGGTCAAACCTTCCATGGTGACGCTAGATAACTGGCTGCTAGGTGCTCCCAATAACACCCTCAACCCCTCAGAGATGGAAACCTTGTATGACTGGAGATGAAGGAGCCTGACATCTTTATATGAAAACCACTTTCTCCATCTTGACTACTTAACCTTCTAGAAGATTTCAGACTGGATCACTTTAATCCTAGGGGTTTGACAGGGAGCTGAGAAGTCCCAGAGACTCTGATACAAACAAAACAAAACAAAACAACAACAACAAAAGCCAAAACAAAACAAAAATCAACCAACCAAACAAAGCCCTATTTACTCCTTTTGCATTCTTAAGTCCAGAGCATTGTAGCAGGGGGGGATGAAGGGGCTCAGCATCTTGACACTGTTTGTGGCACGAGGGAGGTTCTCTTAAAGACTGCAACATCCACCCTGAAGGGCTGGAAGCCATGGCTGCAAACAGGCCCTTGTCATAAGGCTGGAGAAGCCAGCCGGGCTGTAATTAGCAGGACTTGTAATTGGGGCGTAAATAAGAGTGGAGGCACTGACAACTATTGTTATTGAAATGTCATGTTTTGAATGCAAAAAATACAGCGAAAATGTAGGGAAGCTGGGTGATATTAATGTATGCAAATATACTTTAATTAAAGCTCAGCCACCAATGGCTTTAAGTAAAGGGCTTGATTTAAATACTTAAGCAAATATTATAATGGCTCCTGTGACGGCGACATAGTGAGCAACACTGCCAACAGCGCCAGGAAGAATCAACCCCCAGACCTCTGTGTGTGTGTCGTCTGGAAACCAGAAGGTCTTCCCAGACTGGGGGTTCGCTAAGCTGATCTCTGGGCTCCTTGGAGTTTGTGGGAACCTAGTCTCCTGGTTTCAAGGCCTCTAGTGGGAATGGGTGAAGCAACAGCCACTTGTGACCAAAATGATCCTGGTCACACTGTGCCGCCTAAGTCTGGAAGTCCATATCTGTCTCATCTCCCTGTTCTTGAATCTGGGTTTTGAGTATCTTTAGTTCTCGATGTATGTTTGTTGAGACGATTGTCTCTGCATCTGTGACTCTGGCATGATACTCACTGAGGAAATTCGACAGCTGCTGATGGATATCAAGGTCTGTGTCCTCTCTAGCACGTTGGTCACACTATCTCATAAAGGTACAGTCAGTCCCTGCCTCTGCCCTGCTGGATTGCCTGCAGCCTTCACAGAACGAGTCAGTGTTACACCTTCCTGTGGAGGAGGCCTGCTCATTAGTGCGTGTCTCGTCACATTAATCGTCGGGGCAGAGCTTGAGGGCTTGTGTTCTCACTCTGACATTCAGTTTTGTGGAATTCAAACACGCCTATGGGAAGTCACACAGTTTTCTATGCGATAGTAAGTAGTGGTCATATCAATGAAGATGGAAGGAGTCAGTCTAAATAGAGACATATATGAAGTCGATGGAAGATGTGTAAAGCATTTTACTAACTTCTAATGTTGAAGACATTATAGTCAATCACACATAAGATAAAATTTGGAGTCATATTCTGAGAGGCACAAGAGAAACCAGGCTTCAGGGAAAGACACATCCTTATTCTTTTGTGGTTCTACCTTACCAAGTCATATTGTTCTCGAAGATGAGAACTTGGAGTTCAAAGGTTAATGACTTTGAGATACTGTAAGTTGTCTAAGTAACTGTTAATAGCCATTAGTGGACCATTCATATGGTTTGCTGAGCACTTACTATATGGAAGACACTTAATGATGACATCCCATTTTAGCTGCATAAGTCTAAGTGTAGGTAATGTTATTCTCTTATAGCTTACAAAGATACTATGGATGAGAAAGCTTTCCAGAATATACAGTATATTCCCCATAATGTCCCCCATATATATCATATAGTCTCACTATTTATTATTAAGGCAGGTTTCTAAAGAAAATTTCACCTATCTCTATCTTTTAATTGTTATGCTACTATAATTACCAATATGCATTATGGTTGATGCTATATAATTATTGAAACAACTAGGTTTAGGTCTTCTATGTACTGTTTTAAGTTACACTATAGAAACCTGAGCTTTTGTGACCTAGTTAGAGCTAATATTTTTATCACGTAGGCATTAATAAAATGGAGACAGTTCAGAGACATCTTGGTCTTTGAATTCACCCTCTTTAATGTTATAGATATGTATATCACCTCTACATAAATTGAAAACCCCAGCAGATAGGGTTGTAATTTTTTTCTTTTGACAGGCACATTTTTCAAAGGCTGTGAAGGAGAAATAGCCATTTTTGTTTCTTATTTACTCTTGGAGAATTTCACATATGCATATATTGTATTTTGAAACTATTTCCCTCCTTTGCCCCCCAGCTCCTCAACTCCACATGGATCCCTTCCCCCTTCATCTACCCCCTATTTTCACCCACTGAATCTAATTAGTGCTGGCCATACACACATGGGCGCAGAGCCGTTGACTGGAGCATGGTCAACCTACCGTGGTCTATAGCCCTAAGGACAATTGACTCTTCATCCTCTTATCATTGTGGAAATAGTCATTTTTGTTGGCCTTATTCCTGTAAGATGTGCTTTCCGTCTGGTGCTGTCTCCCTTCGGTGCTTCCATGGGCAAACCCTTTAGATCAAGCCTGCTGGTGGTGAATCCCCCATACTTCCTTTGACTGGAAACTATCTATACCTGTTATTTATGTATTTCTTTATGGTGTTTATTTTCATGTCTCTGTGTGTTTGTTTTCATGTATGTGCATGTGTTGGATGTGTGTGTATATGTGTGTGTGTGTGTAGACCAAGGAACAAATACCTGGTGTCTTCCACCTCGATGTCTGAGACAAGATCTCTCACTGGCCTATAATTCACCAAGTTATCTACCCAGTACGCCCATGAATCTGCCAGTGTCTGCCTTCTTTCTCAGAGATAGGATTACAAGTGTGTACCATTATGCCTGGCTTTTTGTTTTATTGTAGATTCTGGGGATTGAACGCAGGTCCTCCCTTATGTTTGCAAGGCAAGCATTTCACGTGCTGAGCCATCTCTCAACCCCCAGCTTCACTTATGAAGAATATTTTTGCTGGCTACACAATGCTATGGGAGGACAGAGTGGTGGCAGGAAACCCTCCTCTTAACACTTTGTCCAGAGCTGTTAGCAATAATCAGTGAATGGGCTTGTCTCCACTGGGTTTCTTCTGAGGAATTCCCTTACTGGAAAGGTAGGATTTGAACTGAAGTGTCATGGCTTGGAAATAAAATGCCCCCAGTAGGTTCAGGTGTTACACTCTCGCTTCCCCGCTGCTGGCACTGGTGTGGGATGCTGCAGAACCATTGGAGGTGAGACCTGGCTGGAGGAAGTGGGTATCCAGGAGGTAGACCTTTATAGCTCTGCCTCACTTCCAGTTGCCTCCTGTTTTGCTGAGCTGTGAGGAGGGAGGGAGTTCTGGCCAGGTGCTGCCATGGAACCACCTGCTGAGATGCCCTCCTGCCATGATGGACTGTATCCCTTCAAACCATGAGCTAAATTAAGTCCTCCCTTAAGTTGTCTTGGCCAGGTACTCACTCCCAGCCATGGGGAAAACAGCCTAATTCTCTAGATCAAAGAGAAAGGTGTCAGCTGTGCATGTAACACAACTACCTCTGATTCCCGCGCTCTTAAATGGGTGACTTCCAAGTCAGTCAGAACAATTCAGCTCTGTCTGCTTCCTTCAGCCTACTTAGCACATGTTTTTTTCTGACTCAGAGGAGGGAGAGCCAGTAGAATCCAGCAGCAGTTAGTTTATCTTTACAAGAGAGGGAGAAAAAAATCAATTACATGATGATTTGCTTACTCACCAGTTGGCTTCTCCTCTGGATGGCAACTCTTCCCTGCAATTTGCTCCGTGTTGAGTGAAACTGTTGTGAGACTCCTTGATTTGTTTGTGTTTTATGACTATGGCCAGAGGCTGGGAGAACCTGAGGGAGAAAATAAAGAGGAAAGAGAGAGTGGAATCGAATGCAAACAAAAGCAAACCCTCCTTCCACAGTCTTTCCTTGAAGGGCACACCAGAGACTCAAACAAGAGAAGATAATCCCCCACAAGAGAAATGGATTTAATTATAGAGCAATCTTGCCCCCCAAATACAGAAAATAATCAGTGTGTGGAGCTACACACACACACCACCACCACCACCACCACCACCACCAAGGACTTGCTGGAGACAATTGACTGAATGAAAGAGTCCTGCATATTTATAACCAAAGGTTCAGAAGCATGTGTGTGTGTGTGTGTGTGTGTGTGTGTGTGTGTGTGTGTGTGTGCACATGCAAGTAAGGTTCTTTTTTTTCCCTTTTAAAAATTCTACATTGACTAATTCTGAGCTGTGCACATTTTACTGTTTCAATTAGCAAAGATTATTATTTGTTTTTCTTTCTTTCTAAGTGCTTTGGCAATCATTATGCTCATGATGACAGAGTTTTGTGGGCCACTTTCTCATTTGCAGGCACTCCCTGAACGAAAAGCCATAATAAGCCATCATAAAAGCAAGTTGGCTCATTGGAGAAGACTGGTCTGTCCTAACAGACAGGCCATTAAAGGTAAGTTGTAGAAGGGGATCAGTGAGCAACCATCATAAATGGATCATCAGGCAAATTAGCAAAGCATTTACTACTCAATGGTGGGAGAAGACCCTTTCCAATAACTTCCCTAATGCCACTGTAATTGGGGAAAGATGCGCCATGGCACAGCTGTGCAGGCCATTATCTGAACAGCCACTCAGCTCTGCTAGCCGGGACAGGACACTCTGCTGAAAGCCTTCTCTGAAAGTTAGAGGCCCTGATTAAGGAGGTATGAGCATCCCAGGCAGCTGTGAACGCCCTACACCCACGGGTGCCTACAGAATGGCTAGAATTTGAAGTGAGGAGTGGTAAATGTGTGCCTAAGAATCCCCCTACCCCACCTAGGAAGGACTGTTTTGTGGAGCCCTCAGAAACCAGCCTCTTTGGTTCTCTATGTCGTGATAAAGGGGAACATTTCTACTCTGACAGCTCAGTCTTTAGGAATGAAACTGGGGGGGGGGGGACACAACACAGTTTTAAATCTTGTAGATGATTAGAAACTTATTACTCCTTGTAGATACTGGCAATCTTTGTCCCCCTTTGTAGTTTATAAAGCACTTCCACAGACATTCATGAGATCATCACATCAACATTGGGGGTAGATTATTATTATCTTTATTTTCAATCCAGAGGAAGATTCCAGAGAAAGAAACAACTCACTCAACAGTTTTTTTTAAAAAAGATTATCACCACCATCACTACCACCACCACCACCACCACCACCATCACCACCACCATCATCACCACCACCACCATCATCAACACCATCACCACCATCACTACCACCACCAAGATCATCATCATCACCACCACCACCACCACCACCATCATCACCATCGCTACCGCCACCACCACCTCCACTGCCACCACCATCATCATACAGGTTCATTATATATCCCTGGCTGGCCTGGAACTTGATACATATACTATATATGAACACACAGAGGTCCATCTACTTTTGCCTCCAGAGTACTGGGATTGACGGTGTGTGTCACCATATGGCGCCTGGTATCTGATGAGATTTGAACTCCATTCTTCTCACCCAATGCCCAGCAACTTTGCAGAATAAAGACCTTTGTGAGTCACATCCTTCTCCACAGCTTGCAAACTCCTCCCAAGCCAGTACTGGAGGGAGGGTTTCTCCCCTTTGGTGTCATACCCAACACGCACTCTTGTCCTGTTCAAACTGCTGATTCCTTTGTGAATCTAGGTTGACCAAAGATGAGAGTATAGGGTGGAAACCAGGGGCTGTCAGAATTGAGCACAGGGCCTAGTGCATGAAAAGTGCTTCATAGTCAATAAATGAATGAAGTACACATTAAAAAGCAGCTGTAGAGTGTAAGCCTGAAGTCAGAACTGTGAGAGGAGGTGGGAAAGGCACCCAGTAATGGTTAAGGTCAGTGTTGGGTCTCATGAGGCCTGGGCATGAGGCCCAGTGTAACTTCCTAAGCCTAACTTGAGTTTGGTGAGGCCTAGTGTAACTTCCTGAGTCTAGCTAGAGTTTGGAGACCTGTCTCTGGCTACTTGACTTAGGCCCACCTCTGCCCAGCCACTGCTAATGTGGCAGAATATTATTGGCCCTTGTTCCTTACTTCACCTCAACCCATCCCAAGCTTCTTCACCCCCATCACAACCCTATATAAGTCCCTGCTTGAAACCATTAAACAAGATCCTGCTTTGGCAGACTCCCAATTCAGTGTGTGTGTTTCTCCCTGGTGGCCAAGAGGGGAGGGGAGGCTGGGTCATTTGACTCTCACCATGCTGCTCAGCCCTAGGGAGAGCCCTGAGGTTCCAGCTCTGCCCCCGCTCTTTCTGCCAGGGAACCAGCAGGTCAGCATTAGCTTACTTGTTGCTCTGACCAAGTTTCTGACAAGAAGCAGCATAAGGGAAGAAGGCGATGTTTCTGATGACTGTTTGAGAGGACAGTAGCTGTTGTGTCAGAAAAGGCAGGTGGCAGGAGTGTGAGGTGGCTGGTCACATTGCATCCACAGTCCAGGAACAGGAGGATGTGAATGTTGGTGCTGAGTCTCTTTCCTTTATTTCATTGTTTAATGTGTCCACGACTGCAGCCCAGGGGGTGATAGCACCCACTCACAGGGTGGCTCTTCCTCCTCAATTAAACCTTTTTGAAAACATCCTCACAGACACAGAGATGTATCTTTCAGGTTATTCTAAGCACAGTCAAGTTGACAATGGAGATTCACCCTCTCATGGGTGATGCAACAGAAACAGAAAGAGCCTTTGGGAAGAAGGTCCTGAGTATGGGAAAAGTCCAAACTTCTGGCTTTCTACATATTAGGATAGAGAAAGTTGAGCAATGAGTGAGTTCTCCAGTTAAGAGGAGGATGTGGCCAGCCCTTCATTACCTAGTGTGGAATCCCTGGGTTTGGAATCTAAGTACCTCAGAAGCGATCTCAATCAATTTCCTCTTATGCCCACGTCCTCAGTCTCCTACAACTTGAAGTCCTGAGTGCTCGTTTTGTCTGTTGGTACAGTGACAGTTTTAAAATCAGGGGCATGTAGAAGTATATGGGTCACAAGGACTCTACTGGGATGTACCAAAGATTTTCCTCATCCTCTCTCTGGAGAGAAAAGTCATGGTAGTTTCTGAATATTCCGGGCTTCTCCATTTACACAGGTTAGCCTTAGTGCTCTGAAGGCCCCAGCTTTGGTCATCTTATTGGGAATGTCATTTAGAGGTCAAGCCATCCTTTCTATAGCTGCTGGGCTATTGAAAAGCACAAGAAGACATGGCACCAAGGCAAGAGCATTGTCCATAAATTCTCAGAGAGGCTTCCTGAATTAATGGGTATGTGTTCCAGAACTCTCTCTGCATGGTTCCTGCCCCCTGTTTCGTTTGTCCCTCTGTCCATCCCAGCTGTCTCTCACTGTCTCCCACCTTCTCACCAGCCTCCCTGTGCTGCCTTCACACGCCTGTGTTTATCCAGTCTTTCCTCTTGTTCACTCTGAAGTCATCAACCAAGCCTGAATTTCCACATTTCTTGACACATTTCTAAGGCCTCTACCCTCTGGGTTTAACCCAAGCGTGGTTCTTCCCCAGCAAATGCTTCTTTCCTGCTTCTTGTGCTCCAGGGGAGGCATTGGTTTTCACTCAGTTTTGTTTTTGTCTCTCATCTTGGGCAGAAGCCTCTGTCCCTTATGGCTTGTATCTGAGGATGAAATCATTTATCTCACTTGTTTTCATCTACAGACATTACCATCACATACTGTATCTTCCTTTTTCTTTTCTTTTTCTTTTTTTTTCCTGTGTTGGTGTGTGGCAATTGGAGGCTTGATCCCGGGGCCATTGTCCCTTGAGGACTAGCTAATTGACAGAGGCAGTGAATGACTTCCCTGAGATCCTACCTAGCTTTAAAATATAAAACAGCCACCTGACACCATCTCCTTCATCAAACTCTCACTTGCACTCAATCTAATTTCAAATGCCGGTAGTCACGGAGACCGGAGAAAAAGCTGTCTGAAAGATCTCACACCCGGGATGAATTGTTCACGCCTAGAAACAACAGTCATAGGAGAATCATCACTTCCACACACTTCTCAACAGGACTAGTCATACTTATTTGCATGCATGAAATGACAGAAAAGGAGAGACTAGAATGGGGTAAGATTGCATGTTAGAAAGTTGACTTGGCAGGGTAGGCAACATGGATGATAGAGAATCCCGGCTCATTAATCACTGGCATCCAAAGCTTCGGTCTTAGTACTGAGGGTGAGAGTGGGGGGGATGTGGGAGTGGAGGGGAAGTTCCTTCCTTCAGGGCTGGCATGGGGATCAATGATAGTAGACTGAGACAGCGGCAGAGCTGATCATGACTTGTAGGCAGGATGACCAAGTAGGACAGAAGGAAAAGGAGACTGGCTTCCGGCCTGACTCACTGTCTCCTTCCTGTTCTAACTCTCACTTCAGGCCCTCCTCCCTTGAATGTTTTCGTCTCAGACATAATTCTAGACAGTATCTATGCTTCATAATATAATGGGAGAGTCTCCCACTCTCAAAATTTATTAGCTAAGAATTATTATTAAGGCTTAAAGTGCTATTCTAGGGATGTCTGCATTTTAATAACTTTGAAGTCTTTGAAAACTCAGTTAATAAATCTCCAATAAGAGGACTTGAGGCTACAAGTGAGGATACTGTTATTTAATGAGAACTCACTCCGTGCTCATCCCATTTTGTAGACTGGGGCTGGCTGCAGCAATGAAGACTAAAACCTCCCTTAGCAGCCTGATCGCCCCCAGAATAAGGAGACAGGTGATACACCAACAAGTGGCTCCAAAAATATTTTTATCCTCCAAAAATATTCCATTTATCCTTTGAGAGTGTCACGATGTATGCAATTCAATTTGATCATATCCCACCCTCTATCCTCTCTTTCCCTTTTCCTCCCACCTTCTTATCCTGTTCTTTTTGTTTGTTTGTTGTTTAGTTAGTCAAGTTAGGACTGTCTGTATATGCATTGGTGCAGAGCCATCTGCAAGGGCAGGGACCGCTTGCCAGGAGCCAGACCCCCCCCCAAATGAAAACAAACAAACAAAAAAAGATTCTTCTTCCCTTAGTAGACATCAACTGCCAGCAACTCCTCAGCTAGAGGTGGGGCCTTGTGTGCCCCTCCCCCACCCACCATGGAATGTTGACAGCTTAATCTTGTGCTGGTCTTAGGCAGCCAGAGCCATAGAGAAAAAAAAAAAACCCCAAGATAAAAGGATTTGAATGTGCTAATGCACGCGAATGTGTGAGAGGGTATGCATGTGTGTGTGTGTGTGTGTGTGTGTGTGAGAGAGAGAGAGATAGATAGATGATAGATAGATAGATGATAGATAGATGATAGATAGATAGATGATAGATAGATGATAGATAGAAAGATGATAGATGATAGATAGAAAGATGATAGATACATGATAGAGAGATGATAGATAGATGATAGATAGATGATAGCTAAATAGATGATAGATAGAAGATAG